AATCCCCTGATCGCCCTGCGGCTCTGTGTGTGACAGGGGGCAGCGCCCAAACCCCCTGATCGCCCTGTGGCTCTGTGTGTGACAGGGGGCGGGGCCACAACCTCCCTATCTGCCCTGCTCTGTTCGTGACAGGGGAAGGCGCCCCAACCTCCTGATCAGCCCTGCTCTGTGCCTGATAGGGGGGAGCTCCCCAATCTCCTGATTGCCCTGCGGCTCTGTGTTTGACAGGGTGTGGCGCACCAACCCCCTGGTCGGCCCTGCTCTGTGTGTGACAGGGGGCGGTGCCCCAACCCCCCAATCGGCCCTACCCTGAGCGTGACTGAGGGTGGCATTGCAACCTCCCGATCCGCCCTGCTCTGTGCATGACGGGGCGGCGCCCCAACTCCCCAATCGGCCCTGCTCTGAGCCTGACCAGGGGCTGCACTTAGGGATTGGGCCTGCCCTCTGCCACCCGGGAGCAGGCCTAAGCCAGCAGGTCGTTATCTCCCGAGGGGTCCCAGACTGCGAGAGGGCACAGGCCGGGCTGGGGGACCCCCCTACCCCGCCCCCCGAGTGCACAAATTTTTGTGCACCGGGCCTCTAGTAATTTTATAATAGGAAATACTTAGGAGTAGTACCCTTTTTGTAGTACTGATTCTCATGAAGATCCAAATAGAGGTAATCATTGCCACTAATGAAGATGGATTTTACACGATGCTGCTACTGTGAATGACCAAAAGCGATCAAGAAAAGTCAGTTTTCAAAAGTTTTCTGTGTAAGTCCAGGAAAAACGTTTCCAAGTTATGCAGCTGTAGTGCATCCCTAAACACCAAGCCAAATAACGTCATAAATGTCCTTCTGTTTCCAACCGTCTTTCTGTTGCTCATCGTCATATCTTAGAGAAACACTCTAGTGCAGAGGAACTGTCCAGGACTGAGAGCCGGTCTTAGGTTTGAGTCTCATTCTGTGCCTGCTAGCTGTGTGACCTTTAGCAAGTCACTTAACCTCTGGGGCTCATGTCTTTTGATCTGCCTTTAAGTGGGTAACTGAGAGGATTGCCAGGGTTCCTCTCTGCTCAGAAATGTTATGATTCTGAGGATTGTAAGGGAACCTGTTTATAGATATTGATGTGCTTCAGTCAGTCACAAGTTTAAAACAAAACTTAAATCTGGCTACATTGCTGCTGTGAATCATATGGCAAAGGCATGACAAGTTCAAGTATTAGGCATGACTCCTTAATATTTCTTTTTTTTTTTCTTAATATTTTTTTATTGATTTTTTACAGAGAGGAAGGGAGAGAGATAGAGAGTTAGAAACATTGATGAGAGAGAAACATCGATCAGCTGCCTCCTGCACATCTCCCACTGGGGATGTGCCCGCAACCAAGGTACATGCCCTTGACCGGAATCGAACCTGGGACCCTTCAGTCTGCAGGCCGACGCTCTATCCACTGAGCCAAACCGGTTTCGGCGACTCCTTAATATTTCAATCAACCTGCTGCTTCTTTTCATTAGCGTGTTTAGGTAACTAAGAGCCAAGAGGGGACACAGTTTCTGGAAGATTGGTTTCAGTGTTGCTAATGACTCAAGACCTCGGGTTTGAGCATTCCATGCAACCCAGTGGAATATGGGCCTACATGGAAACAAGGAGGGAAAAGAGAGGGAGATAGTGCAACCTCCCTTTGTGAGGGAGAGGAGGTGGAAAATCGCCTGGGTTGCCATGGTAAACTTTCATCCCTTAGAGAGATGTTGGCAAACAGGCTGTGTCTCCAGTGCCGTGTGTTTACAGTCCTGCACTGTAATTACCTCACTGACTGGCAGAATTAATCAGAGCCTCTATGTTAATTAGCCTTGCTGCAGTCCCCAAAACAGGTGGTGGGAAATATGCAAATCTATGCAACATTTCAATGCTCTATATAACCAGTGTTAATTTAACATAAAATATTTTCTCAGTGCCTCTCCAGGACTGAGTTCTTTCCCTCCTGAGGTCAGCGTTTCCCTCTAAGCTGCGGTGTTACTTGATGGGCGATGCTAGGTTAAAGTTCTCTAGATATTAAAGGAAGTTCCGTGGGCCAGGAAATCACTCTCTGCGTGGGAGTAAGGCCAGACTGCCCACCAAAGGCCCTTCGGAATGTGGGGCGGGAAGCTCTCCTGTAGAGGGGTGGAAAGTGCGCTCTCCCCTCACCCCTTCCCAGAGGGGAGGATTAGGGTGAATTTCGCCGGTTTGTGGAGGACCAAATTATTTTTTCTTCTTAAAAATTATAATACAGCTTTGTTGGCAATGGAACAAAAAAAAAATCTATAAACTTAATATGCAAAATCAGGAAAATACACAGATTTATAAGAAAGGAAAAGAATGAAACCAGAAAACTCATGACTGAATAAGTTCATGTTTTAAATAATTCTTGAAATATGGAGTTATAAGTGCATTTCTTTTAATGAACAATTTGAAATCTCTTTACCCCCTCCCACCTTCAGTCTAAATCTAATGAAGAATCGGGGGATTCCCAGCAGCCAAGCCAGCCTTCCCAGCAGCCTTCAGTGCAGGCAGCCATCCCGCAGACCCAGCTCATGCTGGCTGGAGGGCAGATAACCGGGGTAAGTTTTCTGGGAGCATCGTAATAGACGTTCTGTGCCAGACTGCCATTGGCCAGCTGTTGATTAGGACTCTGCCGTAGCAGGCAGTAACGGGGCTGGGCCTAGCACCATTATGTCTTAGGGAACTCTCTACACTGGAGGCAGCTCTGAGAAGGGAATTACTTAGGTTTTCAGGGTATATTTTCTACAGTTGCAGATGCTTGGGATAAACTGACAGCGTTTCTAAGCCCATGTTTCCACTGTTGCTTCGTCATGCGGTGGAATCATTGTCCAGTGGGTGAGACTCTTGCATTGATGAATAGTAGTGACCATTTGCGTTATGACATCATTGCAGAGCAGAAGTTAAAGAAGGGAATCCTATCTAATAAAGAGGGCATATGCATATTGACTGTCACGCGGTAACAGTCATGATGGCTGGGCCCACAGTGGAGGCAGGGATTCCATAACACAAGATTGCTGCACCCACAGTGGAGGCCAAGTTCCCTTAATGAACAATTAGCAGGAACCTGAGGCTGCGCCCCCGCCTGGTGGGGCTTGACAGGGGACCTCAGGCCACACCCCCCCACCTGGAGGGGCTTGATGGGGGTGGGGCCGGCCGGGTCTGGGTCTCGCACGATTTCGAGGCGCACATGGGTGGGCGAGGACTTGACTCTGGTTCCCATGGCATGCCCCAGGCTCTGACAAGAGGAAGATTTTCATATACATTTTACTAATTTTCTTTCATCTCTGACACTTCTATTATAGAGAAAGGGCAAATAGCAATATTAAAATATTTCCTCTAATTAATTCTCTTTTAATGTGCACGAATTTTGTGCACCGGGTCACTAGTAATGCCTATAACAGAAGAACATTTAAGTTACAGTGTGATGTTCTAAAATTAAGCCTCTGGTCTCAAATTCTGGCTCTCAGTTTACTGTCTGGGCTAATTATGCCATCTCCCTGTGGCTCAGTGTTCCTTTGCTTAAATGCAGATGTTGATAATGCCCATGCCAAAGACTAAGGGTAATACTGTATGTAAAACTCATAGAACAGTGCTGGGCATGTAGTATTCAATAAATGTCATTTATTTTTATTGGCAACTAGAGGCTCGGTGCATGAAATTCATGCACAGGTAGGGTCCCTAGGCCAGGGCCGATCTGTGGGGTGACCGGCGAGATGATCAGGGGCCCCCCTGGCATCTGCCTTGGCTGGCCTGGGGCCTGCAGGTTTGGGGCAACTCCTGCGTTGAGCGTCTGCCCCCTGGTGGTCAGTGCACATCATAGTGACCAGTCATTCTGCTGGTTGTTCTGCCGTTCAGTCAGTTTGCATTATAGGCTTTTGTTATATAGGATAAGTTGGCCTATGTGAATATATTGAGCTTTTAACTTTTCAGCTGTCTTTGCTCTAAGATACCATTTAAAATACAGTGGGGCCTTGACTTACAAGTTTAATTCGTTCCGTGACGGAGCTCGTAACTCAAATTACTCGTATGTCAAATCAAAAAGTGAACGAGTGAGACACGTGATGCTGGGCTGATGTTGTGGCGTTCACTGTGATGTTCGCTGCGCCAACTAGCGGTGGGGTGTCTGAAGCTGGCTCGTAACCCAAATTTTAGCTCGCAACTCAAAGCAAAAAATCGGCCGAGAGACGGCTAGTATCTCGAAAAACTCGTTAGTCGGGACACTCGTAAGTCAAGGCCCCACTGTATTTTTCCAGCCTGGCAGGCATTGCTTAGTGATCAGCCTATGAACCAGGAGGTTGCGGCTCAATTCTGGTCAGGGCACATGTCCGGGTTGCGGGTTCAATCACCATTTGGGGGCGTGCAGGAGGCAGCCGATCAATGATTCTCTCTCATCATTAATGTTTCTCTCTCTCCCTCTCCCTTTCTCTCTGAAATCAATAAAAATATTTAAAAATATTTTTCTAATGCTGAAAATTTCTCATTATTTTTGGGGGAGAAGGCGGGGTATTAAGGAGTAGTAAGGAAGAGTTATTTATTAATCAATTCATATCACATCAACCCACAAAATTTTGTATGTCCTTCATTTCCTTTAAGTATGTTTTGGCAGTAGAAAGCTCTTTTAAGAATTATTGCAAAATTGTTTACAAAATCCCATTAGTAGAGATGAATACATGTTCATATATTATATGAAACCTCTATAAACATATCTGGAATGGAATCTGACTTTCGAATCGTTTGATTCGGATTCTGTCTCTAAGGCACAGACAGGTTGTATCGGACCCTTTAGGACAGTGATGGCGAACCTATGACACGCGTGTCAGGTGACACGCGAACTCATTTTTTTGGTTGATTTTTCTTTGTTAAATGGCATTTAAATATATAAAATAAATATAAAAAATATAAGTCTTTGTTTTACTATGGTTGCAAATATCAAAAAATTTCTATATGTGACACGGCACCAGAGTTAAGTTAGGGTTTTTCAAAATGCTGACACGCTGAGCTCAAAAGGTTCACCATCACTGCTTTAGGAGGAGGTGTGCGCCAAGTGGCAGTCCTTGCTCTTCAGAATATGATAGTATTCCTTCTCCTTTGATCAGTGCGTGGCATCAAAAGGAAGGAGAAGCACACTGCTTTAATGCAGCCTGAAATAAGTTGCATTGTGAAAGCAAGTTTAAATCTGCTCTGAATATATTTCCTCTGTTACTGGTTGAGTTTTTGCTTTGGGTGATGAGTTTCTATAATAGTGAGGGACACTTGGGATTCCAGGTTTATGTGGCTGGAGTCTCTGTTAAACCTGCATCAGAAATTATTTGCATGTAGAGAGAGGGGCTGTCACCACCTGTTTCACAGAGATAACGTGTGGGAAAGGGGATGTAAAGTAGCAGGCCCATTGCTTTCAATAACAGAAAGGACTGTTGGAGGGAGAGGGCTGCAGGGAAACTTGGAAAAGAAACAAATGGAGCTCATAATTCTTTAGTCATATCTTCAGCCATAATGGAAATGACGGACTAGGGCAGGATTCATGCTAATGGGGAGCAGCTGGGCCTTATCAGCCCGTCCCATGTCAGATGCAGCTTACTTGGTCCTCATTCATCTGACTACCCACTTGCTGCTCTGTTGGGTATACATTTCTTTTCATAGCCTGTAAGTGTTGATTCTTTTTCTTCTTGCTTACTAGTTTATTACTATTTTGCTTGAAACCTAGGGCCCTGGACAAGCTTGAATGATTTAAGTCCAGAGTGAGGTCCACCATTTTCATTTAAATGTTCTGCTGGTAATGGTAGCTTGATCACTGATGAACATTTTAGTCTCATGCTAACCATGTGAAGTTGGTAGCTAAGATCTAATACCACTTGAGTTACCTCCTTCAGAGCAGTTGACTTGAATTAGGGGCCCTTCTTCTTTAATTCTTTCCACTTGTTTGTCCTAATTTTGTTTAGCTCACTTTGACGCCAGCCCAGCAGCAGTTGCTCCTGCAGCAGGCGCAGGCACAGGCACAGCTGCTGGCCGCTGCGGTACAGCAGCACTCCGCCAGCCAACAGCACAGTGCTGCCGGGGCCACCATCTCTGCCTCCGCTGCCACTCCCATGACGCAGATCCCGCTGTCTCAGCCTATACAGATCGCACAGGTGAGTGAGTAGCTCTCAGAGCCGGAGCAGGGAGAGGAGGAGTCTCAGAGCCGGGGCAGGGAGAGGAACAATCTCACAGCCGGAGCAGGGAGAGGAACAGTCTCAGAGCCGGAGCAGGGAGAGGAGCAGTCTCAGAGCCGGAGCAGGAAGTGAGGGACAGTCTCGGAGCCGGGGCAGGGCTGAGGATCAGAAGGGCAGTTTTTCTTTAATTGGAAATTCACTTTCTGATTGTTAGTGGGGCCCTTGCAGGCTCAGGAGCTCTCAATCAGTGAGGTAAGTGGTAACCTTCCTTACCACTGAACTACAAGTGATAATACATTTGTTTGCTTGAGTTGATATTATAAACACATAAGTGATTGTTTGAATAACTGACTGTATTAAGTGACAGCTCTTGAGTAATTAGCTGGCATATTTTTGAAGCAGGGGGTTGGTCACTGTGTCTCATTAGCCACTGGCTGCAGCCTGGCTCTGTCCGGTGCTGCAGTGGGTGCTGCCCATGTGCGAGCCAGCGAGGCGCCTGCTGTAGCCGAGGAGCTTGGGCAGAACTGTGGTAGGACATTGTTTGGTTTCATTTTTCACATTTTGGAGCCAAGTATCAGAGATAATAAAAATGCATTTAAGAGGCATAGACAGTACCACCAAGGAGGGAAGGTGAATGAAATCCTTCGTCTCAAGGAGAAGAAGAGAGAAGGGGTAGTCAGGGCAGTGAGGTCTGTGAAGATTGTTATGAGCCTGGTCCTGGACAGCTGTGTTCATCCCCGAGAGAGGCCTTGGAAATGGACTGAAAGGGAGCGGGGTGTGACTAGACAGCACAAAGAAACAACTACAAGAGTAGGGAATAGATGTCAGACTAACTTTTTTGACTATTATATACAATCTTTATCAAGATGACATTTTTATTTTGACCACTTCCTTGATCAACAAAAACATGTTGTTAGTGCCTGAGCTGTGAGACCCTATGTTGACATTATTTTAATAAGATAAGATGTTATCGATCAGATTTTTGTATGGATAACGTAATGTTTCACAGTGATTTCTCAGTTGAGTTCAATGAGCTGGTGCCAAATTTCATAAATCACTATAGATTTTTAAATTTGTTTATGCAAATTCAGATAGCACTCTCAATTTTTACTTCAGAGAAAAAAATCAGTTAACTATTTAAAAACTCAAATTCTTTTCTCATTTGATTTTTAAACTCCACTTGATTTTTAAAACCCATATTGGTCTCTACATGTTAAAACACACCTTTAACCATTTATTGTGGGAATTGGAAATAACCATTGAAAATTAGGCTCATCGTAAGTCATGACACAACATCTGCCAACAAATATAGTCCTTGTAGGAGCTCCGTTTCTTCTCCTGCATTGTGGACGCACTGGAGCATGCGTCATGCATGAGTGAGAAGTGTTGCCTGATTGGGTTGGGACAGAACGCCTCATCTGAGAATGTTACGAATAAGCAAACTTTTATCTCCCTCTCCAACCATGTTTTAATTCTAATGCTTTAGGATCTGCAACAACTACAGCAACTTCAGCAGCAGAATCTCAACCTGCAACAGTTCGTGCTGGTACATCCAACCACCAACCTGCAGCCAGCACAGTTCATCATCTCACAGACGCCCCAGGGCCAGCAGGGTGAGCCCATCACAGCCGTCCACTTGCAGGGCAAGCAGCCCTGAAACTGCCCATTAGAACAGGGGTCCTCAAACTATGGCCCGTGGGCCACATGCGGCCCGCCGAAAACATTTATCCGGCCCGCCGGGTGTTTTTGCCGCCGCTGCCTGTTGCTTAGCAGCCGACTAGTTTTTTTTTAAACTGTAGTCCGGCCCTCCAACGGTCTGAGGGACAGTGAACTGGCCCCCTGTTTAAAAAGTTTGAGGACCCCTGCATTAGAACAATGTTCTCCTTAAATTTTATTGACCTTTGAACTCAGTATTTATGTTAAGAAGAATATTTTTTTCACGCGTACCACAATATTGAAGGTCATCCTTCCCTGCCATCATTTCTGTAATCACCAAGGAGGAACCAAGAGTTTGGCCAAAAGTCTAAATGAAATCTCTCAACGTGCTGAACATAAATTGGATAAATTGCTTCTGGTGTTTTGGTAATTTTTCCTGGAAGTGTATTCAAAGAATGTAGGCCAAGCATTCAAGTATATGCTTCTAACAATCATTTGATTTATTTTAAGGTTTGAGAAGGAGAGGGTGTTATATTAGAAGGTGTGCACGATTTGTAAATGATAAAAACTGTCTTCACCGCTGTTTAGTGGTGAATATTGTATCAACAATCAAGTTCATCGTGTTTGTAAAGCTGGTTAATTGCATCAGCGCAGAGGGTGTCTGGGTGGGTGGTTCCTCATCATTGCTGTTGCTTAGCCTTTTTTCTTGACCATTCACTCCAGAACCTTTTGTTATGTAAATGCCTGTTACATTTAAAGGGTAGTCTGCTCCCTTCATGAACTAGACAATTCTCTGGTTGTTGGTGAAGGATTCTGGGTGAGAGATTGAGCTCTTGGGAATGTCAATCTGCTTCCATTTATACTACTTCACTTTCATCCATTCCACCCGAAAGTAAAGAACTGGCCAATTAGAGGGTTATTCAGGTTACACTAAAGACATGCCATCTTAGTCTAATGTTTCATATCTCCTTGCCCAAGTCACATTAGCAAGATTGAACTTTAGTAAGACCAATAAGACTATCAGGAGATCAGTTGGAAATTTCCATCTCACGGTCATATTCTTTTTGCTATGAGTTCAAAGTAGTCCTGATGTTCCTGGCATAATGTGTTGTGTTTTAACAGGTCTCCTGCAAGCGCAAAATCTTTTAACGCAACTACCTCAGCAAAGCCAAGCCAACCTCCTACAGTCGCAGCCAAGCATCACCCTCACCTCCCAGGTCAGCCTTCTCCCATGGGGGTTCCTTTTTCTTGTCCTGTTGTTTTAAGGGACTTTTGGACTTTGTTGAATTAAACACACACACACACACACACACACAAACATCCTAATTTTAAAAATCCTAGTATTCAAAAACTGACCAAAAATTCAAAGCTGGGCTTATCAGCTCGATAAAGCACCACTACCAAATTGATGTAGTCTTTGAAAATCTTCAAGGAGTCCTTTTTTTCACGTATGTTCATAAAGAATGACAGTCTTAGTGGCAAGTGAGTAATGAGTTCTGGCTGTTTGACCACCCTCCCCCAGCACTGCAGTAGAGCTTGCCTTGAACTAGAGGCCTGGTGCCTCAGCAAAGGCCCGAGCGCCCTTGGTTGGCCCTTTCTCGGGAGCTGCATAGAGGCCCTGACCCCTGTGTCTTCTCTCCTCTCAACTTTCAGGTGTTGCTTCAGCTCATTTCTACCAGAGTGTAGCTCTAAAAACGCACCAGTCTAGACACTGAGAGGCGAGAGCATTAGACCAGTTCAGCTGTGACTGAGCGTGTCATTGGCGCATCTGTAAATTAAGTGACGCTCTGAACTGCTAACCCTGGGGCCCATTCCACCTCTGACTCTGTACTTATGAAAGTTTTCACACATTACCAGATTTGACAAAATTCAACATCTATTTATGATAAAAACTCTTGCAAATAAGGAATAGAGGGTAACTTTCTTAACCTGTAAAAAGTATCCACCAAAAACTCAGCATCATAAAGACGAATACTTCCTCCTCAGCATTGTACTGAAGGCTCTAGCAGTACAATACGACAAGAAAAAGAAATAAAGGACACAGATTAGAAAGAAGAAAGAAGACTGCCTTGATTGGTAGACGAATGGTTGCCTGTGCAGAAAATTCCAAGGCAGCCACAAAAACGCTGCTGAAATTAATAGGTGATTTTAGCAAGTGTGTAGGATACAAAGTTGATACACAAAAAATCTGTACTCCCAATCACAATGATCATTTGGAAGTTGAAATTAAGAAAAAAAAAGTATTTATAGTGCCTACGGATAAATTTAACAAACATTTGCAAGACCTTTACATTGAAAACTATAAAATATTGCTGAGTGAATTTAAAGAAGACCTAAATTGATGGTGAGACCTAACATGTTCATGAAGCAGAAGGCTTGGTTTGTTCAAATGTGAGTTCCCTCCAGATTGATCTATGGCTCCCACACAATGCCACCAGTACCCAGATGGCTTTCTTAGAAATTTACATGCCATTTCTAACCGACATATATGGAATTGTGGGGGACATAGAATAGCCAGGCAATTTTGAAAAGTAAGAAAGTTGAAAGGCTGCCTGATGTCAAGAATTACTGTAAACTACAGTAATGAAGACGGTGTAAGACTGACACATGGATAGAAATGGGAAGAGCAAAGGTCCAGTGGGGCCACACATCTGTGGGCAGCTGACTGCCCACGAAGGTGCCAGAGGCTTCCAGGGAAAGAAAAGTCTCTCAACAAGTGGCACTGTCCAGTGGGCCATGCACAGTGAAGACAGGACCTTGGTCCTGGTTCTCCTGCTGTGTGGAGGTGAATTTGAAGTGGGTTGTAGACATAAACTTCTAGAAGTAAACTCAGGGATAGTCTTTGTGTCCTTGGGCACAGTAATGATTTCTTAAATGGTATTAAAGAGTCCTAACCATCAAAGAAAAAAGTTGATGGATTTTGTAAAAAGTAAAAGCTTCTGGTAAAAGAAAAGCCACAGGCTGGAAGAAAACATTATTAAAACTTACCCTATATAATATGCAAAATGTTATATAACAACCGACAGCGTAATGACCGGATCACGGATAGCAGGAGGGTGGGACAGCAAGCTACAAGTGGGCTGCGGAGAGCTACATACAGGAAGGGGCAGGGCAGCAAGCTATGGGGGGCAGGGGGAGCTACAGGAGGGCGGGGCAGCAGGCGGAGAGCTACAGGAGGGCGGCAGCGAGCTACTGGCGCACGGATTTGTGTGCAGGGCTACTAATATCTGATAAAAGACTTGTTCCCAGGATATATAAAGAGCTCATACAACTCAATCATGAGACAACCTGATGTTCCAAAAAGGGATTGCATGCAAAATATTTGAAGATCCTTCACTGAAGAAGGTATGTGAATGCCCAGGAAGCATATGAAGAGGTGCCCCAAATCATGAGTCCTGAGGGAATGCTAATATCACCAAATACCCGCCAGAACGGGCAGGTTGAAAAAGACTGACAGTAACCAGGGTGGCGAGAAGGTGAAGCAACTAGAGCTTGCATACAGCTAGTAGGGTTGCAAAACAGTACAAATGCTTTAGGAAACAGCTTGGTAATTTCTTATCAAGTTAACTATCTATATGCCTTCTGACCTAGCAGTTCTTCCAAACGCTGTATATGAATGTTCGAAGCACTTTTATTCATAGTCACTCCAAACTGTAAACAACCGAGATGCCCATCAGCTGGTGAATAGATAATGTATCATTTGGCATAGCCACGCGGCAGATGCTGCTCAGCAGTAGCAAGAGATGTGCTCTGATGCAGCGAAGCCCATGTGTGAATTTCAAAAGCACTGCTCAAGTGCCAGAAGCCAGGCATGAAGGACGCCTGCTGAGCCATTCCATTTGTATAAGTCCTATCAGTGGTCGCCAGGGCGGGGACCCTGGGTGGGGTCGGACAGCACAGGGTGCACGGGAACTTGGAGGGTGATGGAACTTGGAGGGTGATGGAGCACGAATTCATGACTTGTAACAGTTATGTGATTGTCAAAACACTTCAAACTGCACACTAAACGGCACATTTTATTGTGAATATGCGGAATAGAAAAGTAAGGGTGGAGTTTTGAGAAGACCTTACCTAAGTGACTCCTTCCTGGCCCACCTGCTCTGCACATGGTGGCGTTGTGTTATCCTGCCCCTACTCACTGGATTCCACTCTGTCCTTGAAGTCTGGGCCAGCCCGGCCTCAGGCTGCTGGGGCTGGAGCAACGCCTCTATAACCACTCCACCTAAGGTGACCCAAGTGATGCTTCGTCCTTTATTATTTGAGAGCAATGCTACTTCGAGCCTGGAGGTGAAGTAATAGTCTGACAGTTGAGACTGGGAAGTGTACAGCCATGTAGGTGTCTGGTGTGGTTGGTGCTATTTTGGGCACCTCCCCAATGGCCAGGTTAAAAATTACTAGTGTCACCATGTCAGAAATGAGTGTTGTCTTCACTGCACAGGACAGAGAGGTGCTTACCCAGCTGCAGGCCTGCGGAGTCTTATTGTCTAGTTTTCTGGGCTAGTGAGTTCAGTTGGAGAGAGTATATTACTAATGAGGTCTAAGTAAGGGTATATGACCCGTTTCAACTACAAGAGCAAAACTCACAGCCACAGACGTGGTGTGTGATCTTGGCCTGCGATCTCTCAACCCAGGCACCATTCACAGGAAGGGTCAGCTGAGCGATGGAGATGCACTCACGGCAGCACCTGTCTGTCACTAGTGATATTCAGAAGGGCGTCTCCTAGCGCTTGTGTTTTCATAATAAGGACATTTTATATTTCTTCTACAAAAAGGAAAGATTATACCCGCATGTCCCCAAGTAAGCTTTAGATGGATTTTAGTAATTAAATATTTTAAAATACATAGAAGGAGCAGGTAGAATATTTAAAAAATTTATCCAAGTTAGAAATAAATGAAAGCTTTTTCAGGTTTGAAGCAACACATGATATTAGAAAAAAAAAAAGTTTCCCCCCCGCTTTTTTTCTTTTGATAATTTACAAGGTAGGTACGTTGAAAAATAAAAGGAAAAACAGATAGGAAAAATTTGCATTAATGCAACACAATCTATAACATTTGATGAGTTCTTTAAGGATAAGAATGAGAAGATCATTAATACTTTATACAAATGGGTTCAGATGTAAAACTAATTCACATCAAAGGAGATACAGATAATAATTCACACATGGGGAAATTTTGACTTTATGTAATAAGAGAAATACGAATTAGGGCAACAGTGAATTAGCAAACATTTTGAAAACTGCTGACAGATTTTGGGGAGAGATTGGATGGTGAGAACCGACATGCTGCTGTGGATCAGAAGCGATGCCATTGTCTCCGGCTGCCCTTTATCTGGTTACAGAAGTGCTTCATGAATTTACCTCAGAGAACTAGTTCCAGAGGTGGGAAAAGAACTACATGCAGAACCATTTGTTGTGGTGTCACCTGTGCTAGTGAAAACAAAGAAGTGTCCAGCAATGAAGAAATTGTTAAATAAATTATGATTGTTTTGCTTCCGTCAGCCTTTGAAAACGATAATTAGGAAAAGTGAAAAACCATAGGAATAAAAAAACGTAATTGCCCTGACCACTGAGCAGTGGTTGGAGCGTCTATAGGCACTGGAGGGTTATGGGTTTGATTCCCGGTCAAGGGCTCATACCTGGGTTCAGGGTTTGATCCCTGGTCCCGGAAGGGGCGCATGGGCAGGCGTGAGGGGGCAACCAATCGATGTGTCTCTCTCATCAATGTTTCTCTCACTCACCCCCCCTTCCACTCTCTAAAAATCAATGGGGAAAAAACAGGATAATAAAGAAAAGAAATGTAGATCTGTGGAAAATTGGAGGAAATACACACAAATGAAGCTATTAAGTTATTTAAACTGTAGGTGGTTTGCTTTTCTTAAAATACTTTTAATAATCTTATAGTAATATTTTTATAATATTGTGTCACAAGTTAGAGATATACAAGATAGTGATAAACAAGATAGATTAGTCCCTGCTGTTTTGAGACTTATAGTTTAAGTGGTATGTTTATTAAGTAGAGTCTAAAAAATGAGGACTAATCTATGAAAAGGCATAAAATACATGTATTCAGACTATTTGAAAACCCGAATATACTGGGTTTCATTTTTAGGTAGACAAGTTCTTTACTTGTGCTTACATTTTAACCTTATCTGTGATTCTGGGGTACATGATTTCACATTCTGCTTTTCTCCACAAAACTACCTGTTGCAGTGTCTCCATAATCCTCCCCCAATAGAGCTGTTTCCTTAGGTTGTTTACTTGCTGCACAGTCCAGTTGCAGCCTAAACACCTTTTTGTATGTCTGTTCTTCTCCTTCTCCTTCTCTAACAGCCAGCAACCCCAACACGCACAATTGCTGCAACCCCAATTCAGACACTTCCACAGAGCCAGGCAACACCAAAGCGAATCGACACTCCCAGCTTGGAGGAGCCCAGTGACCTTGAGGAGCTTGAGCAGTTTGCCAAGACCTTCAAACAAAGACGAATCAAACTTGGATTCACTCAGGTAGATGAGCCCGCCCTGAACTTGGATTTCCCTACTCAGCCTGCTTTATGTGTCCATTAGTTTTCCTGCATCTATAAGATTAGACTATTGTATATATTTGGTTCTAAACTTATGATTTAATGCTACGTTAAAACCTTTAAGACTCTCTCAGAACACAGGCCTCTGAAATTATAATTATACTAATAGTATAATTATACTATACTATATTAGGCTATATTAGGCTTTTATTATATAGGACTAGAAGCCCAGTGCACGAATTCATGCACCAGTGGGGTCCCTAGGCCTGGCCTGCAGGATCGGGCAGAAACTTCTGTGCTGAGAAATTAAAAGATTGTGTTAGGGGATGGTATGACTATACTGAGGGTTTTGTTATTTGAAGAACATCTGGTTCTAGACCTTAGTGCTATATATGTGAGGTAGAGAGAGTCAAGATTGCAAGTCTCTCAGAGTAGCTGACGGGAACGTTTGAAAGGCTTGTTTGAAATAGTTTTTTGTAGGGGGTGGAGACATGCGCTTGCATGCACACACACGTGTGTGTGCATACGTACAAAATAAGCCCAAACTGAAACAAATTAAGTAAGAATCTGTCAAAGATGAAAAATCCAAATTAAGTTTTTTTAATGCCAGGTAGCAGAGCATTTAGAGTAGAATATGTCCAGTGGTTTGGCAGGAGGCTTGGCCTATAGGCACTGCTTTAATTCCTCTCATTCACTGTGTAAGTGACACTGGAGTGGAAGGAAATTGAATGGCATTTATGTAAAACTAGAGGCTCGGTGCACAGATTCATGCACATTGAAAGGAAATTAATTAGAAGGTGGCTGGTGGGGCGGGACTGAACAAGATTGGCCGGATACGCCCTGGAACCAGTCTCCCATGGTTCCTCCCCAGCTGGCCCCACCTGGGACGGCGCCGGGGTTCAAAGGGCATCTGCGGAGTGAGCGGGGTCCCTCCGGCAGGTGGGGTCCCTTGGCCTGGCCTACAGGGATCAGGCTGAAACCGGTAGTCCGACATCCTCTGAGGAGTCCCAGAGTGTGAGCGGGCACTCTGCAAAGTTGCTGTTGCTCAGCAGCTCCTGCTTTGAGCATCTGCCCCCTGGTGGTCAGTGTGCATCATAGCCTGGTCGGAGCATTTGTCCCCTGGTGGTCATTGCGTGTCATAGCTACCGGTCAAACGGTCACTTAGGCTTTTATAACCTCCTATATAATAAAAGCTTAATATGCTTAAGTGTCCAGTTGTCCATTCAACCAATCAAAGCGTAATATGCTAATGATAGGCAAAGACTGCTCAACCACTCACAATGACGTGCACTGACCACCAGGGGGTAGAAGCTCCAACCGGTAGGTTAGCTTGCTGCTGGGGTCCGGCCGATTGGGACTGAGCGAGACTGGCTGAACATGCCCTGCCCTCCCATGGTCCTTACCTGGCTGGCCAACCTCCTGCGTCCCTTCCCAGCCCTGATTGTGGACCAGTGGGGTCCCTCGGCCTGGCCTGCGCCCTCTCACAATCTGGGACTGCTTGGGGGATGTTGGAGAGCCAGTTTCTGCCCGATCCTGCAGGCCAGGCCTAGGGACCCCACTGGTGCATGAATTCGTGCACTGGGCTTCTAGTCCTATATAATAAAAGCCTAATATGCTAAGTGTCCAGTCGTCCAGTTGACCATTCAACCAATCAAAGCGTAATATGCTAATGATAGGCAAAGACTGCTCAACCACTCACAATGACGTGCACTGACCACCAGGGGGTAGAAGCTCCAACCGGTAGGTTAGCTTGCTGCTGGGGTCCGGCCGATTGGGACTGAGCGAGACTGGCTGAACATGCCCTGCCCTCCCATGGTCCTTACCTGGCTGGCCAACCTCCTGCGTCCCTTCCCAGCCCTGATTGTGGACCAGTGGGGTCCCTCGGCCTGGCCTGCGCCCTCTCACAATCTGGGACTGCTTGGGGGATGTTGGAGAGCCAGTTTCTGCCCGATCCTGCAGGCCAGGCCTAGGGACCCCACTGGTGCATGAATTCGTGCACTGGGCTTCTAGTCCTATATAATAAAAGCCTAATATGCTAAGTGTCCAGTCGTCCAGTTGACCATTCAACCAATCAAAGCGTAATATGCTAATGATATGCTAAGGCTGCTCAACCACTCGCTATGACGTGCACCGATCACCAGGGGGCAGTCGACCAGTCACTATGAGGTGCACTGACCACCAGGGGGCAGATGCTCTGACCAGTGGGTTAGCTTGCTGCTGGTGTCCGGCCAATTGGGACTGAGCGAGACGGGCCAGACACGCCCTGGAGCCCTCCTGCGTCCCTCCCCGGCCCCAATCATGCACTGGTGGGATCCCTTGGCCTGGCCTGCACCCTCTCGCTGAGGGACCCACCCACCCCCCCAGTGCACGCATTTTGTGCAACAGGCCTCTAGTGTATAATAAAAGGCTAATATGCAAATTGTCCCTACGGGCGGGAGTTTGACTGACAGGGAGTTACACGTGCGCTGACGACCAGGAGGTGGTGCGGAACATGGTGAGATTTGGCGATGGGGCAGGCAGCCAGGGGAAGGGAGACCCTGGCCGGCTGCTGGCAGCTGCTAGGGACCCTACCCATGCATGAATTTTGTTCACTGAGCCTCTAGTATATAGATAATAGAAGATCATTAGATGAAAAAAATTACTGAAGTATAGATTGGATTGGGTGTTTTTATGGAATCAGGAAAAACCTAATGTTTTCTTTCCAGAGAATATAATTGCTATTTGAAATCTGAGCCACCACTTACGTACTGTCCCATATCCTTTGTGTCAGAAGAACAGTAATGTACCACCTGCTCAGGCAGGTCGGACACCAGGGTGACGTCCCTGCATGTGTCCTGGTGTTTTTATGAACAGACTTGTATTCCTAATATCTTTGGTAGTTTATTTTTGCTCAAAGAAACTAATTATATATTAGAAACATAAAATGATTTTTTCAATAGCTATAATGTTAGAGATAATGCAGTTATGTATTTGTGAGGAGTTTCAATTGTGAGGAAACAAATTGCAATTAAGAAAGATTGAAACATTGAATGATCTGGCTTATTCTTAAAAAGAAAGCAAAAGATACAGCTAGATTGAGCGGAGTACGTTACTGTGCTTAAATATGTGTCAGTTTGGACTAGTCCTCAGAGTTTCAGCTTTAAGCTATTAGCACAGCATACTCTTAGGTTCCCTAGGAAACAGTTGCCTAAGCGATATGCCAAGGATGTTAAGGCTTTTTAAAATCTTTAACTTTTACCCAGATAGATAGTGGTTTGCCTTTCTGTGGCACTTGACCCAGCATATTGCCAGTGTTGTGTGGGTGTGTGCCTCTCTCTCTTACATATCAAAGAGTTTCCCTGTGGTCTGGTGTTCTGCTTATGGTTTTATCCTATTATTTGGCACAACTGTGCCTTATTTTTCAAAATGACTCTGATATAGCAGTGCCTATATTTCACAGACCTTGACTATTTAGATTAAAGCACATGTTACTGGTGCAGGATGGGGAAATCAGCCTTTGTGTTTAAGGCATGTACCTCAGTTGTAGTTATTCAAAGGTTGCTTTGTATCCAGTTTATTTATACACACACAGATTTCAAATGATTAGTTAAGACCAAAAAAAAATCCCTCTTCTTTGAGAAATCTCCATGTTATTAGCTGTTTCTGACTACATCATTGGTTATGAAAGGGTTACTGTAGATGTCATTTCATAATTAGGAGGCCATGGTGTGACACTTTTCTCACACGTGACACATTCATTATTTCCTAATCCCAATCTTTGTTCCTTTTCCCTTTTGCTTTTTAAAAAATATCAAAGGGATATAATATAGATTATGTATGAGTCAGCTGCTTCAAACATTTACTTCTGTGAGGGATAACCCCAATGGTTTTGAGTTACAAAAGCACCAAGCCACAGTACCTCAAATTAATGAACATTAGTATATTAACTAAGGGAGGACCTATTGCTTTTATCCAATTAAATAATTTAAATGTGAAGTAAGACTGTATTATACATCTCAATTAAGTCAATTTGTAATTTATTGCCATAGTTTTACTTAGTTGATGGCATAGCCACCAACTTAAGGCATTTATTCTTATTATGATGTGATTTTTGAATAGGTACTTTAGTTTTTGTTTACTTGTCAATATTGTTACTTTTCATAGATATTATAGAAGTTTGTGAAAAAACTTCTAGTGAGCTGTGAGTTACAATGTCAGAAACAGTTATTGCCATCTTAACTGCTAGAGCAGGCCCCATATGCAAAGAATTGTAAGGTTGGGTTGGTCCAACTCTCTAGCAGGCTGTAATTTAAACAAGTAAGGTGACCAAGACACACAGCCTAGTTTACTATCAGACATCTAGTAGGCACTTAGTGAATGTTTGTGATTGACTAAATGTACAGAGATATCGATCCAGATAGACATCTGTCTACAGATAGATTTAGCATTTATGCCACTCGCACTATCCTGGTTCTCTGTTTGCTGTAACTGGACGGAAATCACTAAGCAGTCACTTCTGTCCTGGAGACAGATGTCCAGAGCAGTCAGTGGCACTGTCGGTGTAGGACAGCCACTATGCCTGTGAGGCTACTGCTGAGCAGCAGGCTGGCTGGGGGAGCTGAGGAACTGGAGTTTTAATTTACTTGTTTTGAATAATTTCCATTTAAATAGCCACCTGGGGCTGGAGGTTCTCCTGGGGAAGGCCAAGTGACAGCCCAGGGAAGGTCTGGTTCTCAGTGCCTCATGTCACCTTCCATTCCAGCTTTATCCTCTGTTACACGTTGTATCACAAGTTGCTTACCAGTGAGGAAATCGAGTTTTAAAAATATCCTTCCCCCAAAGACAGAGAAACAGCGATCAGACTATCACTCCCCAGAGGGAAAGTAGGGGAGGGAGGGGGTAAGGGGAAGAGATCAACCAAAGGACTTGTATGCATGCATATAAGCCAAACCAATGGACATGGACAACAGGGGGATGAGAACATGAGTAGGGGGGGTTAATGGGGGGTATAAGGACACATTTGTAATACCTTAACTAATAAAGAATTAAAAATAAATAAATAAATAAATAAATAATAAATAAATAATAAATAAAAGAAAAAAAATATCCTTCCCTCTCCCTGACCATCACCTAGCACAGGTGCGAATAAACAGTGTAGTGTCCAAGGATGGAATGTAGGGGAATCAAAAAACTGGACTAATCCCCATTCACAGTCCCTGCTGGCGGTGGCTGGGCCTGTGCTATCCCTTGTGTCCCACGATGGAATGAGCTCTACAGCACTTCCCAGAAGGGTCTTTCTGCCCTGTCACTAAACTAATGGAATGAGAGAGCGAATCATTTAAACTCTAGGAGCCTCTGTTACCTGAACAAAAACTGAAGATGTGGCTTTTTCCAGCTTTAAAGGCGATTCATTTGGCTGGAAGGAAAGCACTGTGTACATTCAGGGGTGATAGGCTTAGGAGAAAGACATCTGTGTAATATATTTAGGGGTCATTGTTCCATTGCTGTAAGAGGACCAAGTCTCAGTGCCCATGAAGGTTTGACTAAATGGGTCATACCTCTCCACTGTGAATTTCTTTCTCTCTAGCAGTTATAAAAGTAGTCCTTTAGAATACCTGTTTTTTATAACCAACTTTGAAATCCAAACTAAGGGTGGAAAATAGATTTTTTTCAATGCTTCCAGAAATAATTTACAGGGGGGAGAAGAAGTAAGGGAGCATTTCTAGATTTTAAAGTCATTTATGGAAACGGTTAGTTCATAAATCCTGAGGTTATCGAGGCGGTTACTTGTGTTAACTCTGTAGGATTACTTAAACCACTTTGGTTACATGAATTAAGGGGCTGGTTTAGAATATTAGCACCATCTTTTGAGACTTAGTATAAATATTTGATAATCTTAACTATTATATAAGGTGGCAAGAAGAGATTCAAAATGGAGAGAATGTGGGACAGTTTTGATTGTTGTAAGATTGGGGCCTAACTCCTCACTGGAGCGCTGGGCCCAGCTTAGGGGGTGGGTGTTTTTGTGGCACCCTACGAAGGGGCTCATTGTCGAGCCTTTGTCTACGGGGGCCTGTGGAGGGAAGGCTGACACTGTTGGTGAGATGACTCTCTTCTTGCTCGTCCTCCCGCTCCTTTCTGTGTTTCTGTACAGGGCGATGTTGGGCTTGCGATGGGTAAACTGTATGGAAATGACTTCAGCCAAACTACCATCTCTCGCTTTGAAGCCTTGAACCTCAGCTTTAAGAACATGTGCAAGTTAAAGCCACTTTTGGAGAAGTGGCTCAATGATGCAGGTGGGTGAGAAATGGCCTCATTGCCTGTGGGAATCTTACAGGGGCTGTCGTATAGAAAGGGGTTCAGATTTCTTATTGCATTATTGGCGCTACAGAGCCTTGAGGTGCGCCAGTCTTGGGAGGATCCAAGGGATAAGTTATGGTTCCATAAACCAGAGATTCGTTTAAATAGTAATTGCAATGCACACAGTCAACAATTGTTTTTAGTTTTGGAACATTTCCAAAGGGTTAGGGGCAGTTGAAGGAAGAGAAAAAAAGGAAGTTGAAAAACAAGTTTATTAGTTCTTCCTTGATGAATTATAGTAAATTTGTTCTTGATGATATTTCTGCTTTTGTTACTAAAAACGACTACATAGTTCACTCATGAGAAGTTGAGTGGCCAGTGTTAACTTGTGTGTTTTGTACTGAGGTTTCCTTTTGGGAAATTTGAAGTTTGAGTCACAGAACCACAGACTGTGGGCTGCAAGGAAAGTGCAGATCCCCTAGACGGCAGTTCCTGTTTAGATGGGAGCAAAACCAGGTCTTTGGAAAAGGCAGACTGTGACCCCCTCCCTCGGACAGTCTGATTCCATGGCCCTGGACCCTTTCTGAGCTCCACAGGTGAGAACCGCCTCTCTGCCCTTCCCTCCGTGTGCATGGAGTGGAAAGAGTCCCAGAGCCGGTTCCGAGATGCCCGGGGTCATTCAACTATTAATGATGGAACCTTGCTTGTTTCAACTACCAAGAATTTAGAAGTATTTCATTCTTGTTTGGTTTTGGGGGAGGTGTTGCCCTAGATTATACTAGTAAAATGAGAGGTCATTTGCGAGATAAATATTAAATGTTCAATAATTTCCAACAAGCTTTCTTTTATCCCTAGAGCTAATCTATATATATATATATAAGCCTAATATGCAAATTGTCCCCTTGGGATTTCAACCGGGAGACTGGGAGTTCTATTGCACACTATGACATGCGCTGACCACCAGGGGATGGTGCAGAATGAAGGAAGGCCCCGGCCGGCAGCCGAGGAAGGGGGCCAGCCTTCATCGCTGGCCAGGCCTAGGGACTCTACTTGTGCACATATTTCGTGCACCGGGCCTCTAGTAAATAAATAAATAAGCAAGCAAAACCAAAACATAAGGACAGAACTCAGAAGAGGTAGAGCTGAGTCTCAGGGCAGAAAGAGTAACACTGTGCTTTCTCAGAGACAAGTCAGAAGGCAGCGGGGACAGACAGCCGACCGGTCTCAGACCGCAGCTAAAGTAGTGAGGAGCGCTGTATGTCCGTGTGGGTTATGGAAACTTTTTCATGCGCTTGCAGCATAAACTGTCTTGGTCGCCTTTGTTATGTTGTTAATACGCGTGCTACGTGTGTGAAGTATGCGCAACTCCTTCGACCTCCTGTTTTCTCCTTTCTTACAGAGAACCTCTCGTCAGATTCAGCTCTCTCCAGCCCAAGTGCCCTGAATTCTCCAGGGCAGGGAATCGAGGGCTTGAACCGTAGGAGGAAGAAACGCACCAGCATAGAGACCAACATCCGTGTGGCCTTAGAGAAGAGTTTCCTGGAGGTTAGTGGGGATTGTGGGGATTTTACTTTTCGTGGGCGTGGGATTGTTGGCATGGTGCTAACATTAGGTCTGTCAGCCACAGCCCTTACGGATGCTTATCCCATCGTGGAGAAAATAAGACAACCCAGTTTACGTTTATGCGTGCCTGGGGCTCAGGCAGTAGGCTCACATCCACGGAGTCCTTCGTGTGACAGGCAGCAGCTGTCAAGGGGCACAGGGACCCCAGACATGGAGGCGCAGGGAAGAGAGCAAAGGCATCCAGGGGAACCAAGGGGTCAGCGCAGACACCGGTGGTTCGGTTTGGCTGAGTTCTAGTGTCTGCCTAGACCAGCAGTTTGGGACCAGGACACAGAGGGCCTTGAATGTCAGCCTATCAAGTTCAAGTTAAGTCAACAGACACTTGGCTTTTGGGTGTGTTTTTTTGTTTTTTGTTTTTGTTTTTTTAACCAGAAAATATCTCAATCAAAGCTTCCAACAAAATTCTGACTCTGATTCAGAGAGGCTTGAGCACTGTGGAAGGAGCACTGAGTCAGGAGTCCAGCATCTGCCACTTTAGGACCCGAATCCTTGATCAGTCACTGAGTCCCTTTATCTGGGAGGTCCCTTTATCTGGGAAGCACTTCCTATCCTGCCCCACAAGCTTAACAACAACAACCAAAGTAAACATTCAAGAATAACTTATTCTAAGTTACCAGGAATAAATTTAATAGACTTATGTTCATTGGAATGTTTGTCTGTAGACATTTTGTTAAGGTGGGCCTGTTGGTCATTGACATCCCAACTTTACTCCCTGGCCTGTCCCTCCATGTTTGTTGGTTTATATAAAGGCATGGTTGTGCCAGTCGTTCTAAAGGTTATTCCACAAGGTGATTTTCCCCTTCAGAATCAAAAGCCTACCTCGGAAGAGATCACCATGATTGCTGAGCAGCTCAACATGGAGAAGGAGGTGATTCGAGTTTGGTTTTGTAACCGCCGCCAGAAGGAAAAAAGGATCAACCCACCCAGCAGCGGTGGGACCAGCAGCTCGCCTATCAAAGCAATTTTCCCCAGCCCGACCTCCCTGGTAAGGCAGGAAACGGGGAGCTCTGGCTCATTTCACAGTTTACCAGGGACCCGCTCAGTCATTGTATTTCATAACAGAGTTTACTGTGAGAGCACCCAGTGGTTTAGGGGAAGGCTGGAGGGGGGTGTGGGGGGGTCCAGCCCCCTGTGAGAGGCAGTCAGGGGAGCTTTGTCCTATGCCGCTGACTGTTTACTTGTGTTTGGATTTATTTGAACGAGAAAGAAGACAGTATTTTTTTTTACAAAACTGTAGGCATATTTTGTTGTTTTTTAAAAATTTGATTTACATTCTTTCCATGACATCATTTCATTAAGAACAAATTCAAGACACTCTTGCCCCCACAGAGTCAAAAATAAAACAAGCTGCGATTCACGGGTCCTCCGGAATAGTTTCCTTATTTAGGCTAAGGGAACAATTAGCATAATACTTCCTACTGACTTAGATTACATCTGACCCACCATTACTGAGATTGAGAAGTTTTTAAATGATTTCTGTGTGAAACCTGGGCAAAGCCATGCGTCAGGCGAGTAAAGAGCCACCTTTGACGGCAGCCTTTCAGCAGGCACACATTTCTCAGTTCCAGGAGAACCGGGGCTCAGCGCAGACCCAGGAGGAATGAAAAACCTTCTCCTCTCAGGCCCATTTACTTTATTCTATTTTTATTCTATAATATTTAAATTCTATCCTGGCATTGAAAATTTTTATAGGCAAAATAAGTCTATAAATGGAATTTTAAGTTTTTATTTTTAAACTAGAGGCCCAGTGCACAAATTCGTGCACGGGTGGGGTCCCTCGTCCTGGCCGGTGATCAAGGCCTATCAGGGCTGGCCAGCTGAGGGGAGGGACCCCGAGAGGTTGGCCAGCCAGCCCCCTGATTGGGGCCGATGGGGGGACCAGTCGGGGGAGGGGAGAGGGGGCTGCGGGAGGTTGGCTGTGGGAGCACACTGACCACCAGGGGGCAGCTTCTGCATTGAGTGTCTGCCCTCTGGTGGTCAGTGCACGTCATAACGACTGGTCGACTGGTCATTCTGGTCATTCGGTCGTAACGGTCGCTTAGGCTTTTATATATTTTTTAATGTTTTTGCATATTTTCATTTCTGACCTCTAGGTGGCAACCACGCCAAGCCTTGTGACCAGCAGTGCAGCAACTACCCTCACAGTCAACCCCGTCCTTCCTCTGACCAGCGCTGCAGTAACCAACCTCTCTGTTACAGGTAACCACCTCTCTAGTACAGGTAACCACTTCTCTGGTACAGGTACCCACCTCTCTGATACAGGTGACCACTTCTCTGGTACAGGTAATCACCTCTCTGTTAAAGGTAACCACTTCTCTGGTACAGGTAACTACTTCTCTGTTAAAGGTAACCACTTCTCTGGTACAGGTAATCTGGTACAGGTAACCACCTCTCTAGTACAGGTACCCACTTCTCTGATACAGGTACCCACCTCTCTAGTACAGGTACCCACTTCTCTGGTGGTACAGGTAACTTCTCTGGCACAGGGAACCACCTCTCTAGTACAGGTAACCACTTCTCTGGTACAGATTACTACCTCTCTAGTACAGGTAATCACCTCTCTGGTACAGCTAACCACCTCTCTGATATAGGTATGTGGCAGCCAGGCTGTGCAGCTGTGAGGCAGCTAGTAGCCATGAGAGGTTCCTGTGAGAATCTGCCATTAAGCTGTGAATTACAGCTCTAGGGAGGTATTGCTTTTTTTAAAGTTATATGTGAAAACCTGAACTCCAAGAAAAATCAGGCACAATTAATTTTGTCAGAAATAATACTTTCACACAAAGCTTTCATCTTTTTTGTTCTTTTTCACCTTACTCTGTCTTCTCCATTACTCCCAGGATTATCTCTCAAAACACACACTTTTTTTCAAGTAGCTCTTCCTAAAAACCTTGACTATCTACAGCTTTTTGCATCAAGACAACATCAGATCAGATGCCCCTTCGCTTTGTAGAAGGCACTTTCCAGTGTGACCCTTGTCTCCACTGGTCGCCATCCACTGTCCTTGGTCCACAGAGGCTGGCGGGCCTGTGAGCAGGTGCAGCCTCAGGTGTCAGCCAGCTGCCTGCACGTTTCTGATGGTGGCAGGGCTGCTCCGGGTCAGGTGTCCATTCCGCCTGGAAGTAGTGTTGAGCTCCCCTGCAGAACTTTCTGTCCCCTGCCTGTGTCACCAATGATTATAGTTTTATAATTTATTCTCTCTTTGCCAATAGACTTTGTACTTCTCAAAAGGCCTGGATTTTCTTTTTTAATCTCTGCCTCGTTTAGTGCCTGACACATTCACTATAAAATGAATGACTAAATTTTTCCCTGTGCCACCTTTTGAGTAGTAGATTTCTCAAATACATTTAAAATGAACTCAGTGCTGTCATCAGCAGTTCTTAGTGGCACAATGTGTGAGGCATTCTGCGATTATTCGCCGGGTTGATGATGGGTATGAAGCTCTGGGCGGGCGGATTTCTGATGGTTCACGGTGCAGTTTGGATTTAACCTCCAGGTGGGGAAATTGATTTTTCTGCACTCGTATTTAACTTCATCGTACCTCTTTGGCTCTGTGACCTAACCATGGCATGTAAAGTGAATAAATGTTTTTATTCGCATTTATTAAATTAAGGATGAACTTTGCCTTTTCCCTCTTTATCTGTCTGTATCAGTATGAATTCAGACATTCTTTTGTATCCAACAGGTTAGAATTGTACCCCTATTTCAGAGTTAAATTGTCCCAGATTGGCCAGTGGGAGTCCCTTCAGCTGGCTCCCCTGTCCTTCTTTAAGTGGTTCCTTCTTTTTTGGCACAAGATGTTCAGGCTCATCTTCACGTTTCTGTGCCCAGGCCTGGAAGCAGCCATTTCTCCAAGGTTTCCGAGTTCCAGTTAGTGAGGAAAGGACTTTGGAACCAAGGTGGAGGCATTAGATACACTCACTGATACGCATTGTTGCTTCTAGGGCATCTCAACTGAAATAAGTGTGCACACACACGGGAATGTGTGTAAGATACACACGTGTGTGTACATTCACTCATCTGCACCATCCATCTTCACTAGCTGTCCCGTGTATTAAACCCAGGCATCCATACTTAGTCTCCAATTCCAGCCCAACACCCTCTAGTTTAGCGGTTCTCAACCTGTGGGTCGCGACCATCGGAAAACACATATAGCATATCAGATATTTACATTCCGATTCATAACAGTAGCAAAATTACAGTTATGAAGTAGCAACGAAAATAATTTTATGGTTGGGGGTCATCACCACAACATGAGGAACTGTATTAAAGGGTTGCGGCATTAGGAAGGTTAGTTCATTATTTTCTAAGCTTAGGTTCTAAAGGGTTTGTTTTTGTGGTTCATGTGTACAGATGCACTAACGAGGTTAGTGAAAAGTACCCATTTTGAGGTGCTGGCTGGTAGAGTCATTGGTCAGTTGTTCCTGGAGTTGGCTGAACAGAGACCCGCCTCCAGGCTCCCCACAGCTCCTTCCTAACACAGCCCTCTTTTCAGGCACTACAGACACCACCGCCAACAACACTGCAACCGTGATTTCCACCGCGCCTCCGGCCTCCTCTGCAGTCACTTCCCCCTCGCTGAGCCCCTCCCCTACTGCCTCAGGCTCCACCTCTGAGGCCTCGAGTGCTAGTGAGACCAGCACAACACAGACCACCTCCACTCCTCTGCCCTCTCCTCTCGGGACCAGCCAGGTGATGGTGACGGCGTCAGGGCTGCAAACAGCAGCCGCGGCCGCCCTCCAAGGAGCTGCGCAGTTGCCGGCGAACGCGAGTCTCGCTGCCATGGCTGCCGCTGCAGGACTGAGCCCAGGCCTGATGGCACCGTCTCAGTTCGCAGCTGGGTAAGGGCTTTCTCGTCTGTTCCCACCTGAGAGTCCACAAGGAGGTCATCCCGGGGCTTACTCTATGGGAGACTTTCCATCTTCATCTTCAACGCAAAATCCAAAATAAAACTCTTTAAGCCTTAATGTCTTTGAAATGGGTTGCTCTGTAGCAGCTCAAGGACCTTGCTGATTGCGGACTTAAGTGTCTGGACACCCTGGAAGGGCAGCAGTCAGGCCTTCATTTCTAGGTGAGACACGAGCAGCAGGCGCTGGCCGTGCCTTGGGGTTGGGCCAGGGGGAGCCCACAGCTTCCGGCTCTCAATCTCACTCGTTCCCTGCTGGCCTCTCAGCTGACCTCTTTCTGACTCTCAAACGTGCGGAGGGGCTGCAGCAGTAAGAATTACTCTATAGATATGTTTATTTCTCTGGCATTTGCTTTTGTTTTGAGAAAAGAGAAGGAGGTAATGCAGAGCAAGTTTGAATGACTACGAGTTGGACACTGTGTGATCATAGTCTTGTTTGGTTTGCACAGTGAGCTTCAGGGAGAGCAGAGACTCAGGCTGTCGACTGTAGAGAGGACAAGAGCTGCAGCTGCTTCCATAGCCTCCCCTCCGGCGAGGCCTGTTTTCCCTTGGGCGTGATGTCACGCTGACCGCTGTGTCTGCTCTTTTCACTTGCAGAGGTGCCTTACTCAGTCTCAACCCAGGGACCCTGGGCGGTGCTCTCAGTCCAGCTCTGATGAGCAACAGTACACTGGCAACCATTCAAGGTCGGTACAGCTGCTTTCCTTACTTACCTCTTTTTTTCTTTTTTTTTTTTTAATGGAGGAAATCTACTTTGCCAGAGGTCAGGGTGATGGGGAGACAGTTGAATTGATAATGTAGACTAACTTGAGGACCAAGAAAATGTCTTGTAAAAAAGCTTTGTGAAGAAGTATAGGTGTGGTTTGGGCGTTAGAACAGGAAGCCTACTAGTTTGGTGTAAGAAATCAGGACTTTTATGCTGATATTGACCTTGTTATGTGTATAGACTTGGGGACAGACTTTCTCCCTAACAAGTTTATCGACTTAGTCATCCAAGACCTATGCCTAGGCACCCTGACCAAGTAAACCCCCGTCCTCATCTCCACCCCAAGAGAGCACGACTGAGCAGTCCCCTCGGAGCACATCGGGGACTCCAGGAGCACTTCGCATCCTTGCCGGGCCTGCCCTTTGTTCCTTTGGTGTCCCCGTCCTTGCCTTTCCCAAGGCCAGTGGGTCCCTTTGACCTTCTCGTGCTACCGGTCTCAAGTGCGTCTGAATCCCAAAGGGTTTACTGAAGGGTGTGTCTTATGTGCCTCGGCTTGTGTCTGAAGATGCTTGAGAGACATCCCTGTATAATCAAAGAATGTGAATGTTTTTTTCTTACAATTAAAATAGTTTGTGCTTAAGTGAGAGTTCTTGGGGCCAAAAATAAGCTGTTAGCCACTTGAGTAAAGGTGCTGTCAGGTGGGTGATATTCCTCCAGTGTACGTACCACAGAAAACACTGGTCACCGACAAGTCCCAGACATGGGCTGGACTGCCTGGCCTCACACTGACCTCCGTGCTGTGTAGAATCGGTGGTTAGCTCTGTGAAGCTTTTGTTAGCCAAGGACTCCTTTTTGGAATAAGACTGTGAGAAGCCACTTTCTTGGCAGCAGGTGTCTTTGGGTGGTAGTGATGCTCCAGACACTGCAGGCGGGGAAGACCTCTCTGAGGAGATCTAGAACCAGTCCATGGCCCTAAGCCTGGATTCTCAGAAAACTTCAAGCCACACCAAGTCTCCCCGTGTGTGCTCATTGTGTGATGGTGTCCAAGTCAGGGACGATCCCTCAGTCCCTCCAGCTGTCTTTACATGTTACATAAGAAATCAACCAAAGTCTTAAAGCCTAGAGAAACCTTCTAATCTGCATGTGGTTTTATGGGTCAGGGAGATATTGGGGGGTTGTCAGATAACGGAAATTTAGTAAATGAGAATGCCCGCTTATTTTTTTAAATTGATTTCAGAGAGGGAGAGAGAGAGAGAAACATCAATGATGAGAGAGAATTACTGATCGGCTGCCTCCTGCACGCCCCACACTGGGGATCGAGCTGTAACCCAGGCATGTGCCCTGACCTCCTGGTTCACAGGTCGATGCTCAACCACTGAGCCATTCCAGCCGGATGCCCACTTATTTTAAAGAAAATCTTGCTGATGCCTTCATCACAGAAAGTTCTCAGGTGCTAGAGCGAGTCCTAACCCACGATGGCCCACGTGGGCATCCCCACATCTCTGCTCCCTCCTGTAACGCCCACCACGCTCTGCACAAGTTAGAAGGGGCAAACTTGGTCACACCTTACACTTTACTTGCTAACTTAATTTATTTTAGAACAAAAGCCTTTGGAAAGATGGCTTTTCATCTTGTGTATAAAGCCATAAAGTGCTCAGATTTTTCATAGTGCCAGTGGATTGATAAAAGCTGACTATATTTTAGTGCTGTGATTGCTGGAGCTAGTTTGTCATTTGAAGGGAGTTTAACATTGGCAATCTTTATTGAAAACAGTCGCTGGATTTACCTAATGCTGTCGGTGGGCACTGAAGTCAGGGAAGCTCCAGTGCAGATGCAGCTCTAGCGGGTCAGACAGGCCTTACCTCCCTCCCCCCAGCTCACGCTCACTAGATTGTTCAGTCCTTTAGGCCAGCGGTCGCCAACCGGCGGTCCGCGGACCACCAGTGGCCTGTACAGGTCTGAAAGGTTGGTGACTGCTGCTTTAGGTCCTTCAAAATCATAACAAAACTTCAGGTGGGACAAGATGGCTCTCTGATTCAGAAAAACAGTCAGCGAAGGGCCGGGCTTTGTAGCTGGTTGTGGGAGATTGAAGTCATTTGGTGGCCCTTGGCTTCTCCAGGATGGTATTAATGGTCTCCTTCCCACCTGTTTTGGGGGTTTGTCTGTAGCTCTTGCTTCTGGTGGCTCTCTTCCAATAACGTCATTGGACGCAACTGGGAACCTGGTCTTTGCCAATGCGGGAGGAGCCCCCAACATCGTGACCGCCCCTCTGTTCCTGAACCCCCAGAACCTCTCTCTGCTCACCAGCAACCCGGTTAGCCTGGTCTCTGCCGCCGCAGCCTCCGCGGGGAACTCTGGGCCTGTCGCCAGCCTTCACGCCGCCTCCACCTCCGCTGAGTCCATCCAGAACACGCTCTTCACAGTGGCCTCTGCCAGTGGGGCTGCCTCCACCACCACCACCGCCTCCAAGGCGCAGTGAGTGCTGCCCGCCTCTTCCAGCGCAGTGCCATCGGGCAGCCAGCTGGCGACCGCAGGTGCCCTGGCTCCCTCTTGCCACGGTGTGAGGGCGAGGGAGAGGAGAGCAGGAAAGACACGTGCCGGAAAGAAAGGATGAGGACCGGACTTCATTTGCCTAATTTTATAATAAAACACTGTCTTTTCAGGATTGCTTCATGGATTGGAGAACTTTCTAACCAAAAATTAAAAAAAAAAAAAAAGCAGAAACAAAAAATCAAAAACAAACAAAAAATAAGTGAAAGGACTACTTATCATTTCCAGCGGTCACGGTGGCAGTCAAGGTGGGTTACCAATTCTAATATGGGTAGGAAGGAGATTTCTTGTTTGTCTAAAGTCCTTTTTTTCTTAAAAAAATCATTTTTATGGGTCTGTTGTACAGGCCACTACGTCATAACAAGGTGTTTATAATCGTATCAATTGTGTTGGGGGTTCCTTTCTTAACTGGTACAATTTAGGCAGGCCCGCGTTACTGTATCTGTTATTGTTGTTGTCATGTTTTATATATATTTGGTTTGGACGTGTCTCGCTCCTGGATCCTGCTTCAGTGAGCTCCCACTGTGGGGAGGGGTCGGGAACTCGAGTCCTTCACTGCGAATGTCCTTGCTGGTTTCCTCACCCTGGACGCTCACAGAGGCCCTAGGAAATGTTTTCTGTTGCCACTTATGCAAGAGGCTCGGTGCAGAAGCTGAGGGCAGCGTGCGCAGACGCTCCCACTCCACACCCCCATCAGGTGGTGCCTTTGGAGCACTTTTGTGTAGGAAGGAATTCCTGCTGGACTGTAGCTCTCACTCAGACCTTGAATGACCCGAGGCCGGGTCCCGGAGTGCATCAGCGCCGCTCCTTGCCTCTCACGGGGCCGCACGTGTTGCAGGCGGGACTTGGCTCCAAGAGCAAAGACTACTGCAGACACCTGCCTGGGTGGTTCTCGTGACTCTGATCTCCTGAAAAATGCTCCTATTGTTGCTGTGTGTGTGTGTTTGTTCCATTGTGTGGAAGGTTTTCAACCGAACTTCCTTCAACTTAGCAAAGAACAAATGTACTTGTTGGGAGTGGGGTGTTTCCCTCCTGTTCTCTAAAGGAGCCCTGCTAGCCTGCTCCCATCGGTGATTGAACTCCATCCCCCCTCCAACAGGGGGATGAGAAGAGTCTGAGGTTACACCTTCTCTAGCCACAGACTTTTCCCCAGGTGGCTCTCACCCGCCACCCCAAGACCGTCCTTGTCCCCTGGTGGAAAGGCACGCACTAGCTTCGTGGGTCTGGAGAGCCTGAGGACTGAGCAGGACCTGCGTGCACCTCACTTGGGTGTCTCCTGGGCTGGTTAGTGATGCTCCTGTGAGGCGGGTCACGTGGCAATGGTAGCTGTTCTGGGGAAGGGAGGAGCTTCTGGCATGGGTGCGGTGTTTCTGGACTGTGTAAATGAGCCCAAGAGAAGGGGGAGTTCATGAAGTAGATGAGGAGCGAGGTGACTGGGAAACGGGATCCCCTTTTCTTTATGGTAGCATCTATACCAAAACCCCTGGACTGATCCCTGCAATGCGCTCCTGCGCCCGCCCGCCCGTCTGACTGATGAGGGTGAGGGCCAGCTGCTGTCCCGGGTGCTTGCTGACCTTGCCTGTCCCAGCTGCACTTTCCCCTTCTGAGCTTTAGGCTGAGGGCTTACCGGTCATTTTCGTTGCTCGACTTGTGCTGGAGGGAGCTTGGTTCTGTGCACTTATGTCTCCACGGCCTTGGGAAAGGTCGTGCATTTCTGTTTGTGATCGTCCAAGTGGGAGACAGGCACATTAATGTTAAAAGGCCAGAAACATTTTCATCCCCTTGTTGATTTTTCTTTTGTTCCATCTGTCTTCCTGTTTTATTTCACAAAGTATTTAATTCCCATCCTCGGTGTCCTCTCCTCACCCTTCCCTTTCCCTAAAATCCCTCCAAAATCAGTGAACTGCAAGCAGGGATACTAACAAATGTCCACCCACCTTTTTTATGTGTGGTGTGTTGTTTTTTTTTTAATGTTTTTGTGTGTTTTTTTAACTAAGCTTGAACCAAAGTCAATTTTTAGCAAGCTGCTGTACTAAAGGACTAGTTTTTATCGTGCGGTTCAGACACATTGAGGAGTTAGATGCTACTGACAATTTCTTTTTCATTGTCTTTAATAATTTTATATAAAAGTTGCTGCTTCTTTTAATCTTTTATGTTGGTAAATTGTACTATCCTCTGGGCAGACATGAACTTGATTTTTAACTAGTTTATTTAGTTTGGTGTGTAAATAGAATAGCAGTGTCGGTGAACTAACATTTCTCTCTCTGCCCCTCAAGTTCTCTGATGTAGTTAAATTTAGTCTTGTATCCTGACTTGATATCTCTAACTTTAGTCTGTGCTAATGGTTGTAGGACTATCAATAATACTGCAGCTGCCACGGGAATGGGTTGCGCCCTTGGGAGTGGCAGGTTCCAGGCAAGATTCAGGGAGGGGAATGCTGATACCCACCATACTGGGTGAGAGGCTATAGCATTAATTCCCAAAATGACTACCAAAGGAAGTGTCAAGGCCCAAGGAACTCCAGCCCAGTGGCTAACAGCAAGGGCCAGGACTGTCTGGGTTTGTTTCCTATGTGGCTCCAAAGATGCTCCCTCTCCCAGGTAAGACTCACCAATGGACTTTAATATGTAAAAGGATACTAAACATTCAAGTCAGTGTGATGGTCTTCATTCCCAGCCCTGTCTGTATTCTCTGGTCAGTTTAGGATAAGGGAATTGTGCCTGGGGATCACTTTATGATATTAAACCAGCATAAAAACCTGTATTTAAAAGAAATAAATCTTTAGACAAGTAAAAACAAGTTGCGAAATGAACGTACATTTATACATGTACGAGAAACACTAAAACAGCTTGTTGCTGGGTGGATAGCTTAAATAGATCCCCAGCCCCACCCCTAGGAACCCCACTGACCATATTGCTTCATGACACAACCTGCAGTCCTTTGTCACTGTGTCATCTTTATCATCTCCACAAATGCTTTTTGTGTTGAGTGAATCGCTGAAGCTGGATACTCAGATGTAGCTGTTAGACACCTTATGTGGGAGTCTGGAAATTAAGAGGGGCAACTGATCAAAAAGAGGTGTTGGGTTGAGTTCCTGCACTTCTAAGAGGAAGGGCCAGACAGGCCATCCCAACTCATTGTGTCAGTCTTCTTTTTTCCCCTTAATGTTTATGCAAGTTTTATTTTATCCCTGAATTTGCTTAACACATTAAACCAAAGACTAATTCTAATGCATTTGTAGTGATACTATATTTGCCCATGGCGATGGGCCTTCCCGAGGGAGCGCTGAATGTAACTGTTTGAACCCACTCATTGCAAGCAGCGCAGTGTGGTCGTGCACGTGATGTGTGCCCTGTGTAAATCTGAGGGACGAGGCAGAAAGACCTAGAAAAGGGCTTCTCACAGGAACCCTGTTACTGTCCCTGATTTAAGAAATAGGTTGAGTACTGTATTAGTTTAAATGTTTCTTAAGTTATGGAGGCAGCTCTTTAGAATTATGTAAATGGTGCAGTCCGTTATGTGATGTCACATACTTCCTGTATTTATTTGATAAGAAAGATCAATACAGCCCCATTTACTCAGCTTCTTGTCAGAGAGATGGAACCACAGGAGCCTGGCTGCTGTTCTGTGTAGGACCACACCTGTTTGTACTTCATGGTAGATTATTAGAAAGAATTTTTTTAGAAAGAAAATAAGATTAGTTAAAAGGCTTCTAGTGAGATTTTTTTTTTACCATTTGTTCCACATAATTCTTTCATTGTTGGGGGGAAAAGCACAATTATACCTCTTTTTTATTTTTAATGTTATTTTGTCCTATTATCCTTCATTTATTTTCAAAAGTAGGGGAACCTTGTCTACATTATCCAGAAGCACAGATATTTGCTTGACACAATATTTAAATTCAGCCCAATCTTTAACATTAAATTTTCTATTTAAATTGCTACATTTGCAAGTATGGGAAATTAATGTCGACTTTTAACATTATAAATCCTAATAGTAAACATTGCAATTAGTATGTACTAGACATGTGGCTTACGGAAGACACTGATTGTAGTTCATAGTCTAAAGTTGTTCCCAAGCCACGTCCTCCTCACAAAACTTTCTTACGGAGAAAAAAGTAAAATCGGTGAGATGGGAAGAAAAGGGAGCAGTGTTGACAGGGAGAGGCAGGGCCGGGGCTCCTGGCTGGGGCGAGCAGCGGGGGCCTGGCACCCCCAGCGCCACTTCCGAGCCTTCAGTTACAGAAGAGCCGAGCAGCTCATTGTGAGAGTTTGGTCAAACGCTTTCTCAGAAATCTGCATCAAAAATTGATGAATTTAAAATTCTGTTTTTCAAACCATGTTTATTAGAGCTGAAAACTTTAAAAGACCAAAGATCTGGAATGTAAACTAATGCCAGTGGGAGTGAGTTGACGGGTTAATTTGATCACGAGCATTAGGAGGATACTTTTGTGCCCGTGTGTGACGAGCGTTCCGTGTGCGGCCTCTTCGAGTAATGCTGGCCCCGGCCATTCTGGGGTCATTTTCAATCTTAGACATTTTGAGGACAACACTTGATAAAGTGGCAAACCTTCCTGAGCAGCCCCTGCCTTTGGAGAAGGAGGAAACCCTCCTTGGACCAGGAATCGCTAAGGCAGCTGACGGAGGCGTGCACTGCGCATGACTGCGATCCTGGGCGAGGCTGAGGCGGGTCCCGTTCTGCCTCCTTGTTTCTCAATCCAGAGAGAGTAGACGGGACGCCGAGACTCCCAGTGAGATGTCGGAAGGGTCTCAGAGGGCAGGGTGTTCTCTGAGTTGTTCAGATGTCCACGTGGTTCGTGAGCTGCTGCTGCTCCCACCACCCTCATTGGTGAGCAGCGCTGTCCTGGCTCTGCCTCTCGGCCTTGGCCCCACGCAGGAGCCGTGGGTGCAGCTGTGTTGGTCTGGAACCTGGATCTCCTTTTCTCCCTTCCTTCTCCCTTTGAATGGCGACACCTTAATCCGTGAGGATAGTGCTGGAGGGTAGCGGTGGCTACTGGCCCCTTCATGAAATACCTCAGTGTAGTTTAGCATTGTTGCAGAACTGGTTTTAAACTAAAAACCAAATAAACAAAAAGAAAAAAGCTTTATAAATAGTGGAAATAATTCTAGCTGTAGCATTTAGTTGACTGATGTTTATTAAGATGGATAAACATGATTGATGCTGTATGTATTGGGATCCTGTTTATAGGTTACAGTTTATGGGATTCGAGGGGGGTGGGGTGGGGGACGAGGAGAAGGTGTCTGTTAGAAGGAATCGTTGCTCGTTGCTCGTGTGTGTTTGTTGTTCCTTCTCTCTCTCTTACCAAAGGAAACTTGACTGTCCCTGTGACTGGGCTTGGGGTTTGTTGGCCTCTCTGTGGTCTGACCTGCTGGGCAGTGTGTGGGGCATGCAGGTGGCACATGGGTTCAGGGTCCCTTGGGCATTGACATCCTTGCTAAGGCGGCCTGTGCCCCCAGATCAGCCCTGCCAGCCTCTCCCAACGGCTCTTACCTCTGTATGTGGCAGGCACGTGGGCAAAGGATGACTGTGCGATGCCGGGTGGAGAGGTGGCAGTAGTGCCCTGTCCGCGTGGACGGCAGAGCAGAATGAGTGTGTGGGCCTCATCACCTGGGAAGATGAGCGTGGACGGCTCTTGTCGCCTGGGTCATGTTGGACGTGCTGGTAGCACACACTCTTGGACCCAGCTGACTTCCGTCCAGACCAAAAATGCAAAAGAAGGAAAACCAAACCTAGAAGTTGACAGCCGTCCTGCTTGCCCCCCCACCTCAGTGACGTGTGACCTCTGGGGATTGGTTGGCTGGTGAGATTGAGGAGGGTGTGTTCTGGGGGCACGTTCGGGGGGTGGGGAAGGACGAGACTTTCTGCCCGCACTGTGGGACAGGCTTTCTCGGCCCCCCTGAGTCCAGACTAGGCACTTCTCCAGAAAGCCTGTTTGTAAATGAATGCCCGTCTCATGGAACCTCAGTGGGATCCGGTTTGGATACCAGAGACACTGCTCCGTCCTTGCTTATCCTGTTTCAACCGGCAGAAGGAATAGGAACAAAAAGCTGGAACTTGGGAAAGCTTCCCCGCTGTCCTCTCCCTCCCGCTCCCTGAGGAGGGCCTGGTGGTCACCCTGGCTTTGGAAGAGACTCCTTTAGTTTCACTCGTTGGTCTGTAGGACGGATGGGCCGCTCAGTGTCGCTGGGACGTTCTTGGAATCGCTGGGGGCTTGGGGGTGGGTGGAAGGGGGTAGGGTTCTTTCTTTCCCTTCATCTAACACGTGTAGAGCCAGTGCAGATAAGTTCAGGTGAGTGAGATGTGCTGTCAATGTACAAGAGAAGCATTTTCAAGAGCAGGTGATGTGGAGAACCAAGACCTTCCTTGAAGCTCTGCCCATGGTGCCGTGTCGTTCCAAGCTGTTCGTGCACGTGAGCTCCTGGGCATTGAGGAGCTCATTGTTTGGGGCACTATTGATGACCCAGAAAGGGAGGGAGGGCAAGAAATGTATTGCTCTCTCAATTTTTCATCAAAAACTGCCAGGGTGCTGGGCATATGGCAGCTGTGCTAACAGTCTTGCTGACAGGATGTGACAGTGTCAGCCCTGGCTTCACAGGACGCTAGATGGCAGGGCCTGGGCGCTGAAGGGAGAAGCACTCGAAGCAGAGGCTATGGGATCAAGGGTTATGGATACCACTTTGAGTGCAGAATGGGACTCCCTGGGGTGGGCAGGGTCCCTGGGTTTGCCCACTCTGCCAGGGCTCAGCCACCATCAGATAGGTCAGACCCCAAAACGAGTTTCCTGTAGAAACATCGTGGTCTGCTGCAGAGTCCCCTGGATTTTCTTAGTTCCTTGCTCATTGCTGTGCTCACGGCCACACAGCAGCTGAGGCCTCCTTCAGACTCTGCTGTTTAATGAGGCTTCCAGATGCTTCTGTACAGTCGGGCCCCTTTGGAGGGAAGGACAGAGCCAGGCAGACACATGCCCGTGCTCCCACCTGTCTCAGTGGGAGCCTCGGGCAGGAAATCAGTGCACTTTCAGAAGCTCCGGGACAGCGCCAGCCAGGTCGGTGCCCTGCCTGGGTGTGCCCTGCCTCGGTTCTGACCTGCACAGGCCCAGTGGGGCCCCTCGTGCCCGCCTGTTGTGTGAGCATGAGACCTGCGGCCGTATTGGAACTGGCCTTTTTGCAATATAAACCTCCTGTCCCGGGGCCAGGTCGAGGCCAGGTCGGGGAGACAGACGGGCTTCCAGCTTCTGAACTCTGCTCCAGCGGGCCTTGCGCACCGCTGGCGGAGGAGGAGGCCCGCTCTCTGCGGAGACGCCTTCTCCCACCGAAGGTCAAGTCGTCCGCCTGTCCCTTCCTCTGGTGGCAACAGAGGCTAGGCGAGTAAGCACGGGCCTCTCCCACCGCAGCCAGGGCGTCGTATACCTCATTCTAACTCGTGACTGAGTAACTTGCTTCAACTTCCTCTAAACCTTACGGAGTTGCCAAGTCTGCCCTCCCTCCCGTGAGTCATGCTGAGCTCTGGCCTATAGCATTGCGGGATCTGGGGCCTGGGGTGGGCCCACCTAGCGCCTCTGAATGTCGCTGCTTGAAAGCTACTGCAAGTGAGGGCAAATGGCAATCTTCTGGTTCTTTTGTTGGAAGAGGTCTTCACAGGTCAGGGGCCCACTCCCCGCACCTGCCTGTAGGGGCTGGCCGGCTGTCAGCCCCCACCCCACCTTTCCGACTGCTGGCCACACGCCAACTCCTGTCTTGGCCTTTCCCTGGCGGCAGGAGGCCACCCCTTCCCTCCAAGGCCTCTGGTTCTGCTGGCTTTCGGGACTGGGTGGAAGGGAAAACACCAAAGAGGCCCTTTGCGCTGACTGCTGCACACACATTTCACTTTTGTTCCTTTGACATGACCAAAAAATCCAAATATTTAAGTTATTATTATTAGTTGACAATCTTATGTCCCGTGGGCTCTCTGAAGCCGCACCCGGCCCGTTTCCTTTTCTTTGAATGTAGTTCCCGCCTCAGTCCCCACTCCGCCCGGAAGCTCCGCCAGGTCTTCCTCTGTGATTCGCCAGGGAGGGTGGTTTCTTTGTTTGGTTTTGTTTTGCTTTTTAAATTTCCAGCCAAAACCAAAGATTTCTTAATGATTGTATAAACTCAAAACAAACAAAAAAACCAAAGAAAAGGGCAGTCTTCAGCGTCGATCCAGTCTGTGGCGTCCTGGCTGGCGCCGAGCAAGGCCGGGCAGGTGGGGCTCTGGCCGCGGAAGGGCAGGTGTGCGCGCACTCGGCCTGGAGCTCGGGCCCTGCCGACTGTGAACATGCCGTGGAGCACAGTGGCGTTTCAGATTCTTCAGAACAGCAGACAAAACCCATCGCCACGATAATCCGCCCACAATGCCACGGTCACGGCCAGGCAGGGCTGAGCCCAGGACGAGGAGGGTGGGTGCTGCTGGCCCAGGACTCCACAGAGTGGGGAGGCCGAAGACAGACACTGGCGCAGGACTGGCTGCTCTGCTGGGTGCTAACCTCTGGGCTGGCGCTGAGCACGCCCAGGGCCCTTCGGAGCCTTCGTTCTCTTTCCTTTCCTGGGACCGCGGCAGCGGCTGTCCCCGCGGGAGCGTGCAGAGCGCTTGTGGACCTTTCATTCCCCACTGTGGCTGTCTCCTTCCTGCGGCGCGCTGCGCAACTATGCATCGTGTTTCTCACCTGTGCTAGGTAGATGCCTGTGACTTTTTAACTGGGGGGCGGGGGTTGCAAATGAAGGAACTTTTTACACGGATCTTTTTAATCTCAGCTTATGGGGGGGTGGGTTCTAGGGTCATACAAGCTCTATCCCAAAGCAAAACCCAAATGTTAGTAATCTTAGGCTGACGCAGATACCAAAGAGAATCCCGCCCTGCACCGCAGACTGCGGAGTGCGCGCACCGCACCTGCACTCGTCTGACCTCAGCAGTTCCAAAGCGTAGATGTATATTTTGGTATATTTCTGGGATATTAAAAAATGTTGTTTAACTTCTCGTTTGTTTCCGTGTAAAGTCATAGCATGAAAATAACTGAACTGTCCTATTCTTAGTAGTTTGAAATAATAGTATTTTTGTATGTTTGGGTGTGTCTATGTATGTATTAACATAACAGTTTTCACTGCCTCGGAGTTCCTAATAAAAAGAAATGAAACGCTCTGCGTGTCCATGCTGTCCAGTAGTAAGCGCCCACCCCTTTAGTTTGGAGTGCTTATGGCTGATGACCCGCCCACTGGGGCTTTGTTTTCTTTTAAAGAGACAGCGATCGTGTTTTTCTAAAGATGTTTTCTTTCTCTCTGTCTTCAAATAACTCCCTCACCTTTTTTTCTTTTTCTTTTTTTTAAAATATTGATTCAGGGGTGTTTTTCCACTGTTGTCAAGGGAGGGACACGAGGGGGAATTGGCCCCTTGGCCTCCCATACATTTTTGTTTTATGTGCCTAACTTTAAAATGTGAGTTTGAGTTCTCTTTTGTGGAAACTTAAGATGTGGTGTATGATTCTTTCCAACATGGTCCAGCAGCTCCAGCGAGGCAGTGACCACTCCTGGGGAGTTGACGGGACCCCTGCCCCGTTTCTCCTGGTGGTTTCGCGATCTGGGTGGCTATTGTGTAGCCCCACTGCCCCAGACGCCTGGGTAGCCAGTGCCCCCCTGCCGACCCCTCCCAGGAATATTTCGTAAGAGTCAGCTGATAACATGGCATGGGGACTTTGCATTGGGGGGGATTCGCTGATGCCTCCCGAGGCCTGAGGAGTCAGGGGACATAAGTGGTGCTGTCTCCTTAAAAGTGCCCTTCCTGTGACCCCTCCTGGGCCGCCCACAGGCTGTGGGCTTGGGAGAGGCTGTGTGGGTGGCTGAATCAGAAGGAAATGCTAGGTTTTGTGTAGATGCATTTGTCTGCTGTAACTTTTTATATATATATTAAACTTAACTGTAACTGTACAGTTCATTTCTGTTGTAAAACATCATTAAACCATTTTTCCAAGTGTTTTCGCATTGTCTAAGTTTCTCTGATGGGGTCGTGTTGGTGTCTGGGTGCTTCACACACATCCCCACCCAGACGGCTCACAGCCCTGCCCGTCACCCCCGAGCACAGGGTCCCCCCGCCTCCCAGCCAGGCCCTGGGGGTGAGCAGGCAGGCGTCGGCCGCAGTGGACTCCAGACCACGGGGCTTGCTGCCATCAAACACGCAGGCTCCTCAAAGACTCCCATTTCACTGTGGACTTGACTGCAGAGCTGACACTGAACTTGACTTTTCCAGATTTATCGTCTAAACTGCCCTGCACACACGTCCCCTGGGGCCCCTCGGGAGGAAGCCAATCCTGACTCGGGCCCTGCTCTCCTGTCAGAGACGCCCCTTCTCCCCTGAAAGGGAACCTTGAACCTGAACGCGATTTCTTGCGGGGAAACCAGCTCACTGAGGAGCTCTGCTGCCTCCGCAAGTGCCACAGCTGGCGTGGCCTGTGCTGCCCTGCGTGGGGGGTGGAGGGAGCTGTGCCTCCCACAGGCTGCCGTCCTGTGAGGCCCAGTGGGGAGGGGTGGCCTCGGCCTGCTCCTGCTCACAGCTGCTCAGCCTTCTCCCCCGTTTTGCATTTAAGTTGGTGAAGTTATTTCCTTAAAACAATTCCACGTTTTTAACAGGAATCCCGTTTGGCAGAGACAGTGGTGTGCTCACCAGCATGAGAGACCTTAGAAGGCAAAGCCCACTGCTCGGCCCCAGGGGCTGAGGAAGGAGTGCCCTTTCCACTCTGTTTCCCTGTCCTCCTCTGTCAGCGGTGGGTCTGGCCCTGGCCAGGTCCCAGTGGTTAGATCCTTGGCTGGTGCACCGAAGGGGCATGGGTTCAACTCCTCGTCAAGGGCACACACCTGGGCTGCAGGTTCGATCTCTAGCCCTGGTCGGGGCACATGCAGGAGGCGACCAATCAATGTCTCCCTCTCTCCCTCCCTTCCACTCTCTCTAAAAAATCAATGGAAGAAATACCCTCAGGTGAGGATTAACAACAAAAATAAATCAGCAGAAGGTGGGCATGTTCTAACTCACTTCGTGTGGCATGAGGAGCTCACCAGTGAGAGCTGAATTCTCTGTTGCCCCCTTTTCTCTCCAAAGACGAGGGCGGCTCTCACTGGGGCTCGGTCTGTCAGCAGCTCAGTCCTCCCAGCCTGCTGCCCGCGCTGTGTGGTCATAGCACACTCGCGCATACACACACACACACACACACACACCCCTGCCCCGGGATGTCAGCCCCAGAGCTCACTGCCAGCTTGCTCCTTGCCTCCACTCAAATTCTTGACGCAATGGGTCAAACCCTTGTGTCAAGCCAGCCATGGGTCACATAACTCAGCCCACCTTGACCCTAGGTGTGGGTGTGTCCACTCGCTCTGACTGGTAGATGACCAGCGTCAGCCTCTGAAAGGCGGGTGAGTGGAAGTTGCAGCCATGGCCGAGCTTGAGTGGCAGCAAAGGCAGCGAAGCGACGCTGGGGTCTTCCCGGCCCCAGCCAGGTGCCACGGCAGGCGGACAGTCTGGCCCTCGGGGCGTTCCTTCCACATCCTTCCAGGCTCCTCCGTCCTCGCTGGCTGGCCCACACCTGCCCGTGCTCAGGCCCTGACCCTGCAGCGTGTACTACGTCCCTTCAGACGATGTGGCTGAAACCGAGGGCCAAATGTGACGTCCCCAACTGTGATGACTCCATGCTCTTCTCCCTGGTACCTGCCACCCGCTGGGCATGGAGTGGCTGCTGCCGACATGTTGGCCGTAGGGAGTTGGGTTCCCGGCGTCCAGGTCAGGGGCAGAGCGCCTTCGCCGTGTGCGGTGCTGAGCAGCATGTCCTGGCAGAGTCCCTGACGCTCCGGCTTTGACAGCTGTGGCCCAGACTTTTCTTTTGAACAAGTGAAGGTATTGATTCCAGAGCCTTTACCCAATAGAAATTGGTGGATTGATATTTCCAGTCACCTTTTGTGAGGGAGACTGACCTCGAGGCCTCTGTCGTCCTCCATCCTCCCCAAACCCCATGTCATCTGTACAAACCAGTCCCAGACTCGCTCTGCTGCACGTGCTGCCGGTCCGGTGCCTGAGGGCCGGGGCCTCTCCTGCTCGTCTCCCACACCATGGCCAGAGCCACGCTGAGCCCTGCCCACCAGGCCCTGTCCTTCACCCTCTGTCCCCACGCCGCCCGCCCCTCTGCATGTCACCTCACACTGCACCCAGGCTCAGGCCCGCCCGCCGCAGCCTCCTGGGCCCTGGGGCACCAATGCTCCGTGCTCCTTGGAGAGCAGCAGGCTGGTTCCCAAGACTCAATTCTCATCAAGGACCTGGATGTTGAAATAAAGCTCCGCCTAAAGCAGTGTTTTCACTGAAGCGTTTATTATGCAAAGAGCAAGGCTTTAGCAAACCAGCATAGATTAAACCCAGCGGGAGAGGCTCCTTCCAGGCCCCTGTCCTCCGGGCTCTGCAGGCCCCGTGGTGTGGGGTCTTCCTGGGAGGCCTTCACGTGGCGGGTTTGTCCTGAACTCAGTGTGACGTGAACAAGTGCCAGGGAGCCACGGCCTTGCCCCGCTCGGGAGCCCGCCTCGGTTCACTGCTTTATACCGGTTTGCTCATCACACGCCTCCCTGTGAGGATGTGAGCTCGAAGGCACAGGCGTGTCCATCTCTCAGGCCCAGGGTCTGGCACCTGGACCCCATGGGAAGGGATGCCAGCGGAGGGAGGCCTGTGCTCCGGGCTCTGGAGCCTTCACGCGGCTCCAACCCAGCCCCCCACTGCACCTCCATCCGCAGGGGCTCTGCCTGGACCTTCCTCGGCCCAGTGCCAAGCTACCGAGCAGTGAGGGGACGGTGGACAACAGAAGCCAAATCTACAGCAGGAGCCAAGCCACTCAGGTGCCGACAGCACAGACTGCCGGACGGTGCTGGCGTCCGGGCTCCTTTGGGGCTTTACAAAACAGACTGAACAGCTTGGTGTGAGGAGTGTGCTGACCCAGGTTCGAGCCACGGTCCGGCCCTGGGCCCCAGGCAGGCAGAAGCCGAGGACTGGGCGGGCTCCAGGACGGGCCCGGGACGCACTCCCTCACGTGCAGGGTGACGCTGAATGGAGGTTGGGGATGGGAGGGGACCAGATGTGACCACATGAAGCACCTGTTCTGACAGAGGACTTGGAGGGGAGACAGGAGCGAACTGGGCTGTGCATGTTTTTCCTGGGTCTTTACAATCTGGGCGTCTGCGGGTCTCCCTGTGGGTGCTGGTCCCCAGCTGCTAGCGAGGGGGCAGCGCCTGCATGTGGAGGGCGTCATAGGTGTCTTTGGTGGCCGTACTGAGCCCCTGGTGAAGGGAGAAGGAAAAGACTGGGTCAGGAGCCGCACCTGCCCACCCGAACCCAAGAGGTGCCACAGCACGGCCTGTGCCTGCCCACCCGAACCCAAGAGATGTCACAGCACGGCCTGTGCCTGCCCACCCGCCTCCAGAGGCCCGGGAACTGCCCCTCATGCCCGCGGGGGACGGGTTCTGTCCCTGCTGGGTGTGGCCTGGGGCTCCTTTCCTGACAGCTGTTGCTGCCCCAGGCGCTGGGCCCTGCAGCGCTGTGTCCCGTGTTCCCACCACGCCACTGCGGCTCCACCCTCCCTGGGGCTCCAGCAGACAGGCCCTGGGGACATCACCTGAACTCGCCTGGCAGGTGGAGTGAGGGGAGGGAGGAGCTGGAGCGGCCAGGCAGCCGGCCAGGAGGCCCTGGGCTTGGCATACTTCTCCCCATGATTCCATAAGCCAGGCTGCTGACGGCCACATTTCCTTTTCAAACTTGTGACTTCCCTTGCGATTTCCCCTTCCGTCTTCCCACCCTTCCTGCCGTCTCACTAGGTGTGCGGAGCGAGGCAGCCGAGGCTGCTGCAGGGCCCAGACGCGGAGGAGCGGCCCACGGCTGTGGGTCCTGTGCGGTCACCAATGCCGGGGACGCCCTTGTCCCGGGTGGGAACCCAGTCATGCGCCTGGTAACTAACGCAGCCCC